GTGAGGTAAGTAGGTTGCGGAGGTGCACTCCCTCGTCAAACAAACCTAACTTTCCAGAAGAAGGCGCCGGGAGGAGTTAGTATTCTGGCAGATCGCGTAGAATTTAATAAGGCATGTCAGGTCTCAGGGTTTGGCGCCTGGTCGGCCCGTTTTCCACCTATTGCTTCCGCTTGCCCTCCTCGATATTTGGTGAAGGGGCTGGCAACGCGCCAAACCCAGCCTCCTGACGTGTACCAGCATCTGTAGTGAGAACGACTGTACACACGATTCAAGGTAAAACCATGGTTTGGATATTATTCCAGCCGATCATGTCCTCCTTTTATCCAGAAAAACGTGAATGATGCCAGATTCATCTACTAGCTTTAGGTAGGATGTGTCTCAAAAATGAACACTCGATTCTCGTTGACTCAATCAAACCCTGAATTGAGAAAATGATTGACTGACCTGTACTCAGGATACAGTATCGGGATGTTACCCATGTAGTAGTGGTGTGAGTAGAACCTCTTAGCCTCCAACACTTCTAGTACGACCCACCTCTTCCAGGTCTTACCTGCCATCTTCTCAAATTTTCTCATATCCCAACCTATTTTCCCAGCTTCTAGAAATGTCAATGAATTGGCGTTGAGCTGGATGAGGGGAGGTCGTCGCTAATCAGCTACCGTAACCGACCATCAGGAACAGTGGTTGCTTTGCCACCGCCAGCCAGGGGAGCATGAAATGGGTAAAATCAGCAATCGGAAAATTATCCCTTGTGACCAGAAAGAAACAACTCCAAAGGCCACCTTCCATCGAGCAAATGCGTTTCCTCGATATGATCCTCCCAATGATGCTGTACTCTGTAGACTAGCAACATGTGCAACTGTTGTTCAGATAGTAGTAAAGTACGCGTTCTGTTACACCCCCACAACATTTTACAGGCGATAACATCAAACCAGTCGGGGAGGTAGTAGGAGGGAAGGAGTTTGGCTCCATCAGTAGTGACCGATAAGTGTCTGATCTAGGAAGAAGACAATCAGTGGTGGAAAAGTCGCGGCAAAAGGAATGCAAGGTAAGCCCACATTTTCCCCTCCTCAAATGGCCCGACTGATTGTGGTGATACCAACTGCGCCATAAGCAGTGCAGAACCTGCAAAGCGCCTTCAAAGAATGAACTGCAATGCATTGCAGTAAGTCATTTTGAGCTTTGCAGGTATTATGATCCAAGCTAGAGCTTTATGGGAAAACTTGTCCTCCTAAAGGGTATGGGGGTTTCATTCGCAGAGTCCACGCAATTGGAAGACTAAACAGCTCCTAAACATCACACGTCATTTTCAGGTGAAGGAACAGGACGGAGATCTCATTATAAACACTACCGAAAAACAATTGGAATCAACAAGAAGAACTCCATTGTGTGGCATCAAATCGCTATCCAATGAAACTTCCCATCATAGTGGTTGGTGGAGGTGAGTGCCGTTGAAGAATAAGTTTGCAAAGCCTGTTACCAGTTATACGGAGCCTGTTTGGAAGCTCTGTGAATAAAATGAAGACTTTCAAGGGCTCCCTCTGCAAATAGGGCTCCATTGGATCATGGAATCATGTAACCATGTCAAGAGGATCTGATAGGGCGGTACCGCTTTGTGAAACAGCAGAATATTTCCTGACTGTCTAGCAGAAACGGATTGGTTTCTGATGCCCCATTCACGCTCAACGGAACGACCATCTCTGAATGCTCTAGCTATGTGTACCTAGGTCGTGAAATCAATATGATGAATGACTAGCTCCAGAGCTGAGCAGGAGGAAGCGAGCGCTTGGGGAGCCTTCAAGAACATCGAGGGAGTAGCGAAGAAGACGAAGAAGACCGAGCTCGTGTCCACTTCTCCGATTCCGCGGTCCTTCTTGCCTTGACTTATGCCTCAGAGACTTGGATTCTACGAAAGCAGGATGAGCAGTGCGCCGTGTGGCGTTATTCAACGCGCCATCGAAAGGGCGATGCTCGGAGTTCCCCCGCTACACGCAAGTGAGAGAGGGAATCCGGAGCTCCGCACTCCGCCGACGATCGAAGATCAGAGACGCCGCCGTATTTGCCAAGGTTTCGAAGATCAGGTGGGCCGGGCACGTTATGCGCTTCGATTAAAACGACTTGCTGCGACCAGAGCCAATCACCGACTGGATTCTACGAGATGTTCATCGCCGAAACTCCTGTGGACGACCGCCTATGCGCAGATGGTCAGAATTTCTTCGTTGAAGCTCTGAGCGAATGGTGATAAAGCTTCAGTCGTGTGCATCCTTTCGAGCAGAGGTAGAGGTCATTGGGCAACTCCTGCACTTTGCCAGACGAAATGGAGACGTTCTGGCACCCGCCGAGGAAGCTTGATGAACCAAACGGGAGCACATGTGTAATAAGGTCTTCTGGCCTGTTACAAATTAGCATTACCAGATCTGAATGACTTGGGTTCTGGTGCGAACACCGCAGACGTGGCGCCATTTTCGCTTTTTTAGGCCTTTTCCGCTACCCTCGTTGCTACCTTGATGTTCTCCGCGAGAGACAGTTGTTTGGCGCGATCACATTGTCGCTGCCATGTCATGACAGGTGATGGTACGCGCCTGACACGTAGGATGATTCGTCCGAACCACAGAAACTGTAGGATTTTCGCGCTCAACAAAGGTTAGGCTTGGAAAGCTCTCAATGTTGAATTCAATGCTAATGCTCACCCGGCTCATCTCCTACTGATCACGCAGGAATTACAATGCATATTGAGGATTCCGCGAAGCAGTTGTTCTACCTGGAAGGTCATTTGCTCGACATAGCTTCGGCACATTTGGTGGCTTAACTGCGTCGCATAGAAACGACATTACGCCTGTCTAGCTGGGAGAACAGGCGAAGAAGTCGCCGCGCGCGCGGCCATGGTCAGAATTTGTGCGCACCAGAAACGAATAAACTTCAAGCGAAAAAAGGCTCTGTGATGTGAGCTAGCGCGTATCCGATTTTCATTTATCTTTTCCTCGGATTTAGCACACTTAATTCGAATAGTCGTGCGGTTATAACTCGTCCGCCGGGCGCGTGTGCAGCTGCCGCGTTCCGACCAGCGCTATATCTCAAGTGTCTTGTCACGTAACCTGTGTTCCCTTCTTTCACTCTAATATAGCACCTTCATTACAGGTGTCAGCTCGTCTTCCTTTGTGGAGCACGTTCGACTGAATGGCTGTACGACCCCGATCACGATGATCAGTATGGACGAGAACCCACCCTACGATCGTCCAAAGCTCAGCAAGGTTTGTAACTCTCTTTTCCACAGATGTTTCTTATCAGAGTGTCCCAAGCGCGGTTCATAACTATATTACAAACTCCTGCGAATCAAGTTCATTTAAGTAGCAAAAAGTACATCAATTGAGCGGTCGACGTGACGAGATGTGCGAACCTCAGGCGTTAACTTGTTGCCAACAAACAGCCAAACCCAGAGAAAAGCCGAGCAGGCTCATGCCCAAGGGTGACTGCCTCCGAGGCACTGGGTGGCGATGCTTGCGCTGAAAGGTCGATTCGGGGCTGTTCGAGTGAGCTTGGTAGAATTCCTGAGCCATGTCTCAAAACTGGCTATCATTTTCGAAATAATTGGCCCTGAATTGTTATGAAGGGATAGGGTTCGTTGAGGTGCAGAGGAGGGAGATCAACTCTCTCTGTAGATGGTTACGCGGCAAACATTTAATACTGGAAGAAACAAAAGTTCCTACCCTACACCTCGTCACCTACACAAAGTCTCTCGGAACATTGTGAGCTGCCTTCAACACCGAGCCAGTTGGTCAAAAGAAGAAGAGTGGGTGGACTGGGAGGGGATTTCATGCCTCCACAAGGCCGTCTTCTTAACCAGCTTAACATTCGACTTATTGTATGGATTGTGGCCAACTGGTGCTCCGGTGACGGTAAACGAGAGATGGCCTGTCTTCCATCTCAGTACATAAATCTTCAACCAGTCCATATGGCTGGAGCGGGAGGAAAGCTGACTATAGGGGACCAGACGCAGCAGCGACCAAAGAGTACAAGCAGAGTGCTTGGTAAAATCGCCCCATTAGTACCAAGGTCCCACAGCCCTCATAATAATGCAAAACAGGTCCAGGTCCGGGTACGCCCCCCCCCTGCTAATTTCGATGAAACACAGTTCTTGCCAGCACTCCTGTGGCCTCTTCTTTTACACCTCGATGTGCATTCCGACTGCGAAAATGGGCTATATTTCCCGTGGTCGTGTACCTTCATAGTATGTAACGGACCGTTTTGAAGATGGCTTGTAACTTCCAGCTTTCCCCTACCCCGATAAATAATTCTTACCAGGGCTATGAAGTCAACCACGGATGAGTTCAGTGTTTGCTACCACTCGAAAGGCAACCGGCAAGATAAATTCGTAAAACGGGTAGGATTAACAGGCTCAGCAGAAAGAATGCAACGCCCCGGGGCAAGAGCTGCGCTGCGCCTTCTCCAAAGAAGGTTCCCTTATAGCGCCCAAGTAAGCTGCAACCCACCAGACTGCATGCCTACCGCTCCCGCCGCCCACCGTGTCCGAGCAATGCGGATGCTCGTATACTGCTTCATTTGCTGAGTAAAATGTGAAGCGAAAGGATTGATATGAAGCGCCTACGGTGCGGTAGGCATCTATTAGTACCTACGTGCAACCTTGGCTACCAGCGGTTATTGCCAACGGGAAACTCGTCCGGAATCGTTTCTCATGTTGTGGAAATTTTTACACATTCACTTCTCTTTTGTTCGCGTTTTCCCGTGTCTGTGTCTGTGTCTCTTCAGAAAACCAGCTGTCGAAGTCCAAGAAGTCCGAATGCGACCCGATGAATACTACAAGGAGAATCATATTGATCTCATGATGAAGACCAAGGTTGGTGGATTATTTACTCCTTTCATCTTACAGGAACCCACCATCTTGTGTATAGTGGAGGTACAGGTAATGTCATGGAACACTTGAAAACAATCGCCTGAAAATTGCACTTTGGGTGAAAAGGCACAAAGAAGAGAAGTATCAGTTCCAGGCCGTCATTTACGGCTAAAATCAGCATCAAGCTCAGTGGTGGCGTGACTCAGGCCTTCATGCACTCTATCGTTTGAAGGGGGCATGAATACGAGTGTGCTACACAGGTTTCATTCTTCTGAAAATAACCCATTTTCAGGTAACCAAAGTTGACCCCAATCGCCGCAATATCACACTGGAGACTGGAGAACAATTACCCTATAGCAAACTCGTATTGGCACTGGGTGGTACGCCAAAAAAGCTGTCGATTCCCGGAGCTGATCTGAAGGTTTGTTGAACTTTGCTTCTGCAGTGCTTAGGAAGACAACCGTGAACTAACCTCCGAGGACCGTTCTTGTCATGTATGGGGTGAAAGAGTCTGCAACTGCAGTAACGTGCCAGTCTCTCCTCTCAGAAATTTGACGGACCAGGACTGGAGGGTAAGTACCCGGGTGCCGACTCTGCTTACACCATCTTCGAGATGCAGTAATTGGGTCGTTAGCAAGATGCCGCGGCGAACACGCACCGAGAGGTAGAGAAGAATAAGAAAAGTGAGCAAGCAGACAAGCTGCGCGTTTGGCTATGGTTGAACTGTGGCGGACGTGCGGCAGGGTGACGTACTCTGAAAACTGCACCCAAGTTGCATCGCCTTCTGGCCCGCATCCGCGCACTTTTGAGCGAAGAAAGTGGCCAATGGGTCAGCAGTGTAGTAGCTGCCCACCCATTCATCACGCATACGGCAAGGACTAAGAATGTTCACAGGTGGGTATGCAGTTTGTATTGGTCTCCCCCTTTTTTCCATCTAGAGTTTTTATCACTGCTTCTTCGAGTTTTTGATTTCTGCCTTATTTATCGTAGAAATATGGGGTTTGATCATAGGCGAAACACCATTTCGACGAAAACGCAGTTCGGCGATGGGCATTTTGCACTTTCACTGCTTCACTAGTTCCGGTTTACAAGTCTCACTCTGGTGAAACCTGTGAACTCTTGTGAAGCTGGAGCAAGCTCGTCAAGCCATCATGGTAAAACCTGTCAACTCGAGAAGAGGCTGTCTAGATAGGTCGACACGTCGATGGGAAGTAGCAAAAGTGCAAAATGCCCCCCCCCGTCGCTGAACTGCGCCACCATTTCACTGTTAAAGGTTCCCTAACAGTTAGTGAGGGTTCCTGAAGACCCAGCGTTGCTGAAATTGTGTCGAAACCAAAGTTAGAAGATTTCAGAATGTGTTTACCCTCCGTGTGGTATCTGATGCGAACAGCATCGCTGCACAATCGGAGGGAAAACAAGTCGTTTGCATAGGATCATCGTTCATAGGTACTGTTTTTTTTCTCACTAGGTGTCCACTGCTGGGTTATGGTCAGGGTACATCATCGTGATGTGTGTAATGGCAAAGTCAGTACGCCCTTCCCCCCCCCGGAAAAGATCCTGGTACGACCCCCTCATGGTTTTT